ATGTTCTGCTTGTTCATCTCTTCCCCTAGGGATGGGGTACTCTTTATGCTCAGGAAGCTTAGGTCTTTATGTTAACTCAATACCAGCACCATTTATAACAGGTGGTAAGTGTCACATAAGTGTTTGCAGAAATAACATGCTTGAGAAGGTGAGCAGGCAAATAGCAACTGAGGACATGCCTTAATTTCCCCTGTGGAAGTTGAGTGGAGACTGGGAAATGATGGAGATCTCTGGGTAGCAATATAACACATGCAACAGTTTTCTCCTCTACACTCTCTGAATTCTGAGCAATCAATGTTCCCACTTTTCAACTTGGCCTTTCCTCCCTCTACTCAGACTTACTGAGAATGAATTGGAGCACAATATTATGTGTATGTGTTCAGGTGTGTGCAAGTACATCTGTGTGTATGGGAATGTGAAGACAGAGATCAACCTTGGATGATGCTCCTTAGGAGCCATCATCTTTTTATTTACTTTTGAGACAGACACTCAACCTAGAATTCATCCTTATCAGCAGACTGGCTGACCAGTGAGCCCCAAGGATCTATTGCTACCTCCCTGGTTCAGAGATTACAAGTGCATGTCACTTATTCACTGTTTAATTCTTAATAACTTTCTATATTCTCCACATGGCTTATATTATGTGCATAATTAGGAAAATAATTATGTAAAGAGTTTTCTTTGGTTCATAGTTTATCGACAGATGGGTCCTTTGGTGTTCTGTGTATGTGTGCGTGTGTATTATGATGAGGATACTGATGTGGTAAGACCCATCTTAATTGTGGGCAGGACCACTTGCGGTGTATATAACGTAAAAAGTGAGCTGAACACTGCCTTGTCTTCATCCCTGTTTCCTGACTGTGGATGAAGGGTGACCAGCTGCTTCAAGTTTATACTTTCTTGACTTCTTCTGATCATGATGAATACTATCTAGAAATGTGAACTGAAATAATCCCCTTCTCCCCCAAGTTGCTTTTGTCACAGCATTCTATCATGTCAACAGAAAAGAAAATAAAAAGTCCTATTAAAATTTTGTAAGAAGCCGGGTATTGCTGGTGCACACCTTAATCCCAGTACTTGGGAACCAAAAGCAGGTGGATCTCTGAGTTCAAGGTGAGCCTGCTCTACAGAAGGAGTTCCAGGACAGCCAGGGCAACACAGAGAAACACTGTCTCAGAAACAAACAAATAAAACAAAACAAAACAAAAACTCAAAAAACAAAAAACCCAAAACACATATAAACCAAACCAAACAAACAAACCCTTTGTTAAGAAACCTTCATGTGAAGAGGCCATACTATTTCCTTATGAATGAGGGTCTCTTTTTTCTGAACAACTTGTAAGAATTCGTGCATTTGAGATAGCTTCTCACCGTGTTGCCTAGGCTGCTTTGGAACTTCTGCACTCACTCAGACAATCCTACTGCCTCAGCCCACCTGAAGTTGCAATTGTAAGCATGTTGTCACATCCAGCAGCCTGCATATGAATTTTTGGAAAAAACACTGATGTGCTACGTTCAGCTATTTTTATTGGTACTAAGATTTCTGTCTTGAGTTGGAGTAGTTCCTGGATACAAGTCCTTCTTGGATGTATGATTAAGGACTTCCTTCCAGCCATTCTCTTTAAAGTCTTTGGGAAAAAATAAATGCCTTTAGTGTTTATGAAGTCCAGTTTTCTAGAGATTTGCCTTACACTGACTTTCCAGAACCTTCCTAATGCTACAACTCTTTAATACAGCTCCTTGTATTGTGGTGACCCCCAACCATAAAATCATTTTCATTGCTACTTCATAACTGTAATTTTGCTACTGTTATGAATCATGATGTTAATATTTTTTGGAGGATAGAGGTTTGTCAAGTGTGTCATGATCCACAAAGGTTGAGAGCATTGCTCAAAAATCATTTGCTTTTCTTTTCTGTCCTAAGTAGCTAGAACTTGCAGTGTGGCTCTTTAGCATGCCTGTACAGCATGCCCTTGATTGGCTGGTGGTAGCTTATCCCAGACTCCCAGGGGCAGTTGCCTCAAGTTGATCAATTACCAAGCTCGTCCCAAGGCTCTCACTGTTCAGAGCAAAGTCATTTTTTATTGTAATGAAAATTTAAAAGGCCGTTACATTAGTTATACACATACCCAGTGACTTAATACCTGTTAGTCATACAGAACGCTTAAGAAATACAAACGATTTACCCACGGCACAATTCACATCCATAAGAAGAAAGATTAAAAGAGAGATGAGTAAGTGCTTGCTGTCCATGGAAGCCTGTTTGGGAATCATGGAGGCAGGTGAACTGGCCCCGCTCCTTGCTCTTTGCTGCAAGGGGTGAACCCACCAGGGCAATGCAGGAGAGCTCACCCTGATGGTGAGGACGAGGAAGAGCTGGCAGGCTGACCAGTCCAAGGTTATTTGTTGACCCACTTCAACATCCACCCCATCTGTGATCTGCTGCTGCATGTGAAGGGGGCCAGACCTGCAGACCAACGGCTGCAGGGTCTCCTGCAGCACAACACAGGGAAGCAACAGGATAACCAACAGGAGCTCCAATGAGGGCCCAGCATCAATAGTGTAGCAGAAGCTAGAGGCTTCCCACTAGACCATGACCCTTTGCAATGAACACTTGCAAATAAAGATATACGGATAATGGGTTTGCTATGTGACCAGCTGTGTCACACTACAGTTTCCATGATTAGACTAATTTTTTCCTTCTTTATTTTTTTCCCTCTTTTCTTTTTTTCCTCTTAAAAAAAAAAAAAAAACTTTTTTTTGGGGGGGGGAGAGGTTGCAAGAGCCAAGGGTGGGTATAAAGGGATAGGGAAATAAATGTGAAGGAGATGCAGAATATGAAAGATAAAGAATAAATAAAAAGTTTAAAAAAAAAAAAAAATTGGGAATGTTTTTCTTTAAGGAAATAGATGTTTAGACAAAGCAAACTGCGGGGCCCTGCCTGGCCTGTGAACAGCTCCACCCTGTACCCATAAGGCTTTGCAAGCTGCCTGAACAAATCCAGCTCAGGGCACAAGACACAGCACATCACATGTGGAAATGTGCCCATGCCCTGTGACATACTGTCCCAGATTCTAGGCAATAGAGGAAGAGGGCAGCCAGGGAGCTGATGACTCCATGATTCCTCAGTACATGGAATATGGTCAAGTTGCTGAGCTATATATTTATTTTGGGGATTAGTCCCACTATGTTGCCCACGTAGGTCTTGAACTCCTGAGCTCCTGACCTTTCCTGCTTCAGTTTTCCAAGTGGTGGCACTTCAGGTGAGCATCAGCTTGGTAGGGGAGGAGAGGGTGGACGGGCAAGTTAGGACATAGCGACCCATGGCCAAATACAAAGAGGGATGCAATTTTGCCTTGTTATTGATGGTTAGCAAATGACTTGTTTTTGTTTGTGTGATAGGTCATAGCTGTCACAAAGCAGGTGAGCTCACACTGGGGAGTGACAGCCCATGTAACCTGTGTCACACACCCAAGAAAAGCCCCAATTTTCCTCCAAAGGTAGTAAAAAACCAAACTCACAACTCCCATACCTCTTAATTCATAAGTTAAGACCATGGCTGTTTTTGTCACTGAAAAACATTCTTTACTTGTGATGCTAGCTTTGGGCCTTTTTCTCTTTTGTAACTTGTGCTCACCAACCGAGGCCAGCTCCAGGCTGCTGGGGACAGAAGGCATAGCAAGGAGCACACATTTGGGATTCTGAGGCTGGGATGGACCTCACACTGTGTTATCAGTCTCCGCGGAAGGGGTCAAAGCTGTCTGAAGACCTCTGGAGCCAGAGTTTGTCTGGGACGGGATCCCCAAGGTTTTTCTGCTGGGCTAAGCAGAGTTTGCAGGTGAGTCCTGTGAGAACACTGATGCTCCCTGGATGGCAGGCAAGGTGGAGCTTCAGAATGCAGTGCTACTCTCCCAAGTTTAATCTACCCGCTCCTTCTGCTCTCATGGATTCTGGAACCTATTACACTCCCAGAATCCCAGGAATCAGGCTGCAAGGCAAGGCTGTTCCGAGAGCTTGAACCTCCACATTCAAACAAGGGGTTCCTGAAAGAGCTCCGGAGGACCCCAGCGCCTGCCGAAGGTAGCTCTGTGGCTTCTTTCACACTTGGGCTGATCCATGGTGATGAGATACCTGAGATGAGGCTCAATTAAGTGAAGGGAGGCAAGGAGCACTCACCATAACACATGGGATGTGGAAGGAGCATGGGACTTGAAAATGGGGTGGAGTCTGAAGCTCGGTCAAATCCTACTGACAAGGGACTCTGGTGTCAGAGATAATTCTAGAAGTTAGCTCAAAGTTCCACCTTAAGACCACTGTAAGAGTGTGGCCAGAGCCGAGTCCCTGGCCTCCGAGGCCCGGCTGTGTCTGTTCTGAGATACTCCTGGCTCCCCTGCCTGCTGAGGATGGAGGCTCAGGTGACCCCGAGCACACGTGGCCCCATCTTCCTAGGTTATTGAGCAGAAGGTGCTAGGGACACTGAGAGGGGCAGGGTATTACAATCTTGCACAGAGGGCCAGGTGTGACTTCCTGAAGGAGATGGACAGGAAGTACCTCAGCTCTGCTACACAGCATGGAGGATGCTGCAACCTTCACCACGGAATCAGGGTACTGCCCCTCAGGCCTAGTGAGAGAAGAGCGAGTGCTCTCATAGGTTACCAGAAGGTAAGGCTAGGAACTTTAAGTGGAGGCTGTGTACAAAAGGGCCAGGGGACCAAAGAAATGACTTACAACATTAGCAGCTCCTCAGCCCTGACTCCTGGAGGATTGGCTGTCAGCCCAGCTCCCAGGTCCCTGTCATGCTCTCCTTTGAAATACAGCTGAATGGGGACAGCTTCTCACTCTCACTGGCCACACACACCAACACACCACAGTACATCTACCAAGTCACAACTTTGATTCTCACTGTACAAAGCACACCTGGCCTCAGGCCATCAAGGACAGTGAGCAGCAGGAGTCTCACTTAGGTCCCTGTGCGCCTGGTCCAGCACAGGACACAGAAGTTACTGCCTCTCAGTCCTACCCAAAGTTCCCAGGCAGCAGCTGCGAGAAAGCAGAAAGAAACCCAGCTTCTGCACCAGGCAGACCTGCTGGTGCTGCCAGCCATTGTGGATGCCAAGCAAACACTTGATGGGTGCAAACTGTCCATTAGGAGATTATTCACAATGGAATTTAAGGACCCTGGAGGCCCCCTTCCGAGCACATAAAGTACAATAAATACAAAGGTCCCAAACCCAAGAAGCCAAGCCTGTGGGTTAGAGCCAGGTGATGCCATGTCCAGGGAGATGGGGAGTAAGGGAAGCTTCTGGGGGTTTTGCAGCAGGGAAATCTGGGTGAGGGGGGCCCCTTTGAACATGGGCATCTATGCCATGACAAGAATAGCTCCTGGGCAGTAGGAGCTTGGCTTTGCCTGAAACTACTCAGAAAATGGAGGGAACATGCCCAGATCAGCAAAGTCCTCGATGTTATAGTTGCCAGTCCCCTGCGTCGGGTCCCCCGGCATGGGCAGCATGTCCTGGAGAGGAGAAGAACAGAAAGCCCCAGTGGTCAGTGGCCTTACCCAGAGCCTGCCCTTGTCCCGGAGTCCAGCCTGCCATTTATCCCCTTGGCCATCTCTCTAGTGAGCAAGAATTCCTTTGCATAGCTTTGTGTACAAGGCTGCTCTTCAGGGGTTCTCAATACCTGACCCCCTTGGGAGCTGCTCTCCTGGAGCATGGTCATGCTGAAGGTAAGCACCAGCAGGCCACAGCGTTTTACTGAAGCTAAGCCCACAGGTGCAAAGAGCCCAGCTGGGAGAGCAAGTCCTACAGCAGTAGCAAGATTAACAACCATGTGACTGCCAACCAAGCAGGAGTGGCCTGGGTGCAGTGGCCTGTCAGGGTGGGTGGTGCCATCCCTGAGTGGAAGGTTGGTTATTCTATCTAGTCCTAGTTTGCTAGACCTTAGACTACCTTCTCTGAACATCCTGGGGGAGTTTCAATTCCCTCAGGCAAAAGTTCACTGTGCTTTGTCCAACTCCCAGTCCATATGATAATGGTGGGCAAAGAATTCTGTGGCCAAATGTGCCTGGGCACAATTTCCTACCTCCTAGAAATCCATTTCCTGGTGGTATAATGAAGGTTCTGATAAATCCTGCAAGAAAGAAACTGAATAACTTGCTTTAATTGGCGTTTCACGAAATTATTCGACCAAGAATTCTTTTTGGTGAGGTGACCTTGAAGACACACTGTTAGGAAATTATGCCTTTAAGGGTCACTTTATGAGATAGAAAAAAAAAAATGGGTGAGGGCCAAAGGCAGGCCTGGGAAAAGCACTTCCCTGTACTGGGAAGAAGTTACAACCTGTGGACCCCTGAGTGACACCTGGATCTAGACTAGACATGGGTCTATGAAAATGATAGTTGACTAGGTGTGAGTGAAGTGTGTGTGTGTGTGTGTGTGTGTGTGTGTGTGTGTGTGTGTATGTATGTATGTGTGTATGGGGGATTAAATCTTGAGCTTGTCTGGAGTCTTGTTGCACAGGGCATGCAGCACTCTGGAGGCCTCACAGAAGAGCCTGGGCTGCTGGGTAAGCAGACCCAGCTCTAGCTGAGGGAGTCAAGGGGCTCATGCCTGCACTTACAGCCTTCCAGGGAAGCCTGGGAGGCTAAGCCCTATATGAAAAGCAGGCTCATGACCTTGTCATCAGCACAGTGAGGTTACTCTGTGCCAGGAATTGAGAAGAGCAAGCAAGGTGTGTTTCTCAAAGTAGAGGTGCGGAAGTAGCCTGGGACCCTCATCCAATAGACAACAAGGTCTAGAAAGCTAAGCAGTACTCCAGCTGCCATGACTGAGGGTCTGGAGAAGAGAGTCCCTCCTCCTGGTGGAGAGGAGATAGACTAAAACATCAAGCCCCTAGGGATTCGCAGTTCTTGGAGGCTGTGTATAATGCCCATGGTGAGCACTGAGGTTCTCTAGCCCTTAAAGGGGTATGGGCCCTGCTCCAAAGTCTTGCTGCCCGACTGGAGTTTGGGTCAGGAAGCAGCCTCCCCTGTATGGGTGCAGCCGAGAGGCTAAAGGCTCGATTGCCTGTTCTGTGTACCTTCAGGCTTTGACTGGGCAGGGCAGGACCTTCTACTTGTGGGCTCCCCATATTGCAGGCTGGGTGGGATCTGTTGCTGGCTACCGGGTAGGGCAGGCAGAGGTGCAGAGAGAAGCATAAGGAAGCAGAGAAGGCGCAGGTACCTACACCTACGAGAAGGCGCTGCTCGCTGGATTTACCTGGAACACTTCAGTCTGGCCAGGCTGCTGGTGGGAGTGCTGCTCACCGCTCTGCTGTCCGTGGTGCTGGCTCTGCCACTGAGACCAGACCTCTGAGGGCCGGCCCTGGAATTGCCCTCCACTCTGTCCACTCTCAGCTGAAACATCCAAGGGACAAGACACTAGTTGTCATATTCTGTCACTTCCCCCATCCTAGTGACACTCCAGGACTCCACACTCCTGAAAGGTGTGTCTCACCCAAACAGGCTTTTTCCTGGTTTCCTCCTTTCTCTGATAAAGGAGAAGCCAAATGGAGAAGAACCAAAAAGCCCTGGGAAATGTCAGTGCATGGTCAGAAAAAAATGGCTTTTGCTAGAATGTGCCTGTCAGGTGACTTGTGTTTCAATCCTCAGAGCTTTCTATGTCCCCATGGCTGTTCCTGGTAGACTCAAAACAGAAAATAGAAGGAATGAGAATTTTTTTGTCTAAACTATTTATGGAACTTAAGTAAACAAACAAACAAACAAAAACATTGAGTGTGTGTGTATGCACACATGCGTTTGCACACCTATGTAATATGCATGTAAAATACAAAAGACAAGGTTAGGTGTCGACCCTCATACTTGCAGCAGCCTCCTCCTGTCCTCACAGCCTGCAGCCAGGGTTTCCTTTCCACCTGGAGCCCCTCCCTCATCGAGTCCAGCACGGGGTCTTGCTCAGCCCTGCTCCCTCGGTGGCGTATCTCACCATAGTGCCTTTCCTTTAAGCTCACTGTCCCTACTGTGTTCTGAGTCCCACTGCCGCCCACTCCCAGATCCACAGGGCTCTGCCACCACCCTCCTGGGACAGTGACACTGCCTACAGATGGCCCAGGGTTCCTCGAATGTGGCTTCTAGCTGCTCCTCTAGCCTCGTGTCTCTCTTCCTATCTTGGTAGCCCTACCCTCACATCCTAGTCACTTGGCAGGACTTGGCTGTCACATTCCATCACTTCCCTAGTCTTCATGCCCTGTGCTCTTCCCTTTTTAGATAAACACAATGTATTAATGTGTGCACATATGGTGTGTGTGCAGATACATGTGTGGAGGTCGGTGGGCAACTCTTGGGAGTCAGTGCTCACCTTCTGTAATGCGTTCTGTCAATCATCAAACTCAGGTCATCAGGCTTGCATGGCAAAGACTTCCTTCCACCCACCTAGGTCAGCTCACTAGCCCTGCCTTGTGTTCCCTTGGCTGGCCCGGCTCCTGCATTTTCTTGGTTATCTCATGGTCCTAAGAAGATGTGAACCCAGGGTCTAGTCTCAGTTTTACCATCTCTCAGTTTTCCTGCAGCACCTGGACTCCTGCAGCGTCCTTCACATTGGACTGATGCCCTAAGTGGAGTAACTAAGGCCAGGCTGTGCCAGGCTGCTGAGATGGTGCTTAAAGAAGGAGGCGAGGGAGTGAGGACTCATGGAAGAGGGAAGAAAGAGAGCAAAGAGACAGGCGGAAGGAGGAGATGAAGGAAGGAGGGAAGGGAGAGAGGAGAAAGTGAGGAAGGGGTAGAGGGTAGAGGAGGAAGGGTGGGAAACGGGGGAGGAAGATGGAAGACTACGGACATGCTGTATTAATTCTTGCATCTGAAGCCTCCAGGCTACACTTGATTCATAATGGAGTTTCCTCAGTTGTACTTCAGGGATAATCAAAGGTAGGATGAAAAGAGGGAGGAGAGGTCTGGAGAAGATTAGCTGATTATCCATGCCTGGGGGTTCATGGTTCTATTAATTACAGACAATATATTTCAAAATAAAAAATTTTGACCTTCTGAGACAGTAAATGCTGTTAAACATTTGCAACAGGAAAAAAAAATCAATCAATATGCTGCACTGGAAATAGCATAAAACACAGAAGGACAGAAACGGCAGCATTTTGAAGTAATGACAAGTGTGTGCTACATGTTAAGCTTGTCCTCGGTACCTTATTTCAGTCCATTACTAAATCTAAGAGCCGAGTCTGTTATCCATGTTCTTCAGATAAGGAAACTGAGGGCTCAAAGACATCAACAAATTTGCCCTATTCATTTATTATATAAACCCAGAGGTTGAACTTAGTCCTCCCGACATGGAAGCCTACCTTCATTCATTTGATAAACACAGCTTAAGTCTAAGACAGCGGGTAGTGATGGAGACTGACTTCGTGTGCCGAGAATAGCAGAGTTCAGAGGTCAATACAGTTGAGTGCTCTTCTAAGGGGAACACAGGCTACCATGGGGCATAAGAGCAGGTCCCACCTAAACCAGAGTCTTCCTGGAGGAAGAAGGTATGACCTGAATGAAGGGTGAGTATGCTAGCCATGGGAAGGGAAACTAAAGAGGCCACTGAAGGTGTTTTGTCTTCCCAGAACTGGACTAGTAACTTCTTTAACTACGAAATGAGCATGGCCTTCAACATGACCTCTTCTGGTTGCTTAAATCCTACCAAACTGCACAGCAGATGGTCAGCAGGAGTTGCATGTGGCCCATTCCTAAGGATACAAAGAACTCTTTCTGGAATAACCCAGTGGTCTCCAACACATTTGTTAGGTTATTATTCCAAAAGTCATGTGCACAGTTAAAACCCTTGAGCTGGATTCCAGTCATACTGCCATCTATTTCCCAGCTTCCTGAGCAAAACTGAGGCTGCTGGCCACCCTGCACGATAGATGGGCTAGCTTCCTGCTAGGCTAGGTGTCTAGGGTAAAGGTATCATACTTGCCATCAGTAGCTTCTGGGTGAATTTGGCAGACCCCAGGGCAGTCTCTGGTCCTGAGGAACAGAGGTAAGGCTGATATCTTGCATCTTTTTAGTTGAAGTTTAAAGCTATACTTTGTTCTTACTATCATTTCTCCTGGGAGGCTGCACTGAGTAGAAATTGCCCTACGATTCCTGTGAAGTCCTATGCAGCCGTTCAGTTCATTTAGCGCTATTGGATTTAGCTTAATGGTTCTTGGTGAAGGGAACTGCTGGCACTTCTCATTCTCACAAACAGCAGGATACAGGCAGAAAAACATACAGGGAGACTGATAAACATCCTTAGTAAGCAGACATCCCAGCCCAATGGGGATTAGACCAACCTATCAGCAGTGTAAAAGCTGAGAAATCCTGCTGGGTAAAGCAACTGTGTCTTGATGCCTCCTACCTACCCTACTGAGCTGATCAGACAAGGACCACAAACATTTCAGCTCTCTGGCAGGGAGCTCACCTTTCAGCATTGATTAATAGGGTCAGGTATGTCTATACTTCCTCAAAATTTGTAGATTAAATATGTACATGGCTGAGATTTGGGGGCAAGATCGGGGAGGAAAAGGTGGGTTTGCATCTCCCTTCCCCCCTCTGTGCATCCTATTTCTTAATGGAAGAAGCGTCAGACAATTCTGGAATGATAGAGTCCAGTTTTTCTCCAGCTTCCACTCAGCCCAGACTGGGTGGAGCATGTGGTGGGGAGGGAATTCCCAGTGCTTTCCGAAAGAGGCTTGCTGAGGGTGCACTGGTGTCTTCTGCTGTCACCTGCTGATTTGATCTGTTTTACCTGTCTGGACTTGTGTCATGATTGAGTTGCTGGAACTACCTCAGCCTAAAATTGAAAAGCAGATACTAAATGCGAGACAAGGACGTGCTGGTGCTTGCTAAGCCACTGTCTCTGGAAACATGCTTGCTGCTGCACAATTCAGGCCATATATAAGCAATGGTGGGGCAAGGGGAGGGAATTCCCTGCTTACTTCTGCATCTCTGAGCAAGCTGTGGGCTTGGCTTCCTACATTTCTATAAGAAATGTTATACATGAATGACCAGTTTGAGACAGAGCAATTAAAAAATTTGGAATTCAGGTTATACACTCCCTGACAGTTACCAACTTGTTTTCTCTTAGTTCTAAATCCAGCCCCTATTGCCCACCTTTGAGATACTGAGATGGTACCAGTTTCTGCTGTGCAGAGATGTACCAAGACTAGCTCCCTCATGCTGTACGTAATAAACATGGTGAAGTTCTAGGCTACTGCCTAGTAGGAATGCACTATCAGAGTAAACACAGATCACTGAATATCAGTTTTCCCGTATGTCCGTCTGTCTTTTCTTCATACTCTCACTATCCTAGTCATGTTTCCAGGAACAAGCTGTGAAGGACTTGGCTCCAATTGGGCCCATCAATAGCCTGGCCAGGAGATCACTGTCAGGAAAGCTGATTCTTTTGGGGATATGCTAAAGAGATGGGAGGAACAATTATCCTCTCAGTGAAATAATGTAATTACACCCTCTAGAAGCCTTGATGCAGTTGCTTACAGATATTTACTGTTAAGCCTGCCTGCCTTTGTAAATTCTAACTCAAGAAGTGTAATTTGTCCTTTCTGCTTTGAATACCTTCCAAACCCCTAAACATGCTTGAACTGATACTCTGGACTTTCTCGCTGTTTCTCTTGAAACCTTGCTTGAAGACCTCCATTGCTGACCTTAATCAAAGGCATGGGTTTCTTCCTTCTCCATCTCCCTCTTCTTGAGAGGTGCCAGGATTTACAGTTTGCTTGCTCTGTTGCTTTTCTCTAAAATTCTCATAAAATGATTCTCAAGCTTTCTTCTCAGTCAGCTTTTAAATAAGTTTGTGAAGGAGTCTAAGAACCCACAAAAAGGGAATCTAGATTCTCCAGTGACATGTGGTGAACACAAACAGACTTTAAAGCCACTCCTCTGGGGACAATGTAGGTGACCATATTCCAGGATTTAGGTAAGTTCATTCTGGTACACCACCACCCCCTGCCTCTGCTCCAGTTACCCTGTGGCTTAGATTCCTGTTGGGAAGATTTGACCTCAAGGCTTCTCTTTCCATCTTGCCCATTGGTACTCTGCCTTTATAGAAAAAATACATCTCTCTATTTTTTTCCTCTTCCAGGCTCTCTCCCTTGGGGATAAGAACCAGACACAAAGGGCACAAGTAATGTCTTTCTCTTTTGGATAATTTTCCTGTGTCTTAGGCCAATTCTCACATGGTGGAATGTCAATGACACTAAGTTTAACTCCCCTTTTCTCCCAGGGTGTCAGGACTGTCTATTTGTATCACTAGTGTCATTCCCCCAGAGCCAGAGAGGCATGGATGGAAAGGAAGAGAGAAATAAAGCAAGTAGCCTAGCAGAATTGGGCACAAGACCACTGAT